TCTGCAGCTATCTCCACTCTTTTAACTGTATCTAAAAAGTCATGTGTGTGTGGCCAACACATTCTCACTCTCGACTCGTCACATATTGATGCCTGGTGAAGGCCCTTTTGCGTCGCTTTTTAACGCCCTGGGAACCCCTTTAGCATCATTTAGAGACGTTTAAGGCTCCGCGGTCAAATTAGCAACGCTTAGCAACAACAAATATGCAACGTCTGGTAATGTTAGCAACAATACATTTACAACGTCTGGTTAGACTTTCAAAATAAAATGCTAGCTTTTAAACATCGTCATTTTGAAATGGCACGTTATTAAAGTGAAATGTTGCAGTTTGGTTGGGTTATGCAACAAATCTACTTGGTTAGGGTTAGGAAAAGATCATGGTTTGGGTTAAAATAACTAGGTAGGTCAGTTAACACGTAAGTTAACTTATGTCAAATGTTAATGTTGACTTTTTGTTTCACACAAGACACAAACCCCGATCTCCTAGTTCAAAGTCCGGGTTCTGGCCCTCCACCCACTCCAACCACCTCCTTACTCAGTCTGTTCTGTTAAATATCATATACCTACCTTTACTGTCACAAATTGACGCTACAGGGCTTCCCCCACTGCATTGAACTACGACGCTGTAGGGATCCCCAGTGCGTTACAAACTGACACCGAAGGGTCTTGGCCATGCGTCCATATGTCGGGGTCGGGGAGTGAGAACGGGTTGGTGTGGCCAGTTAACTGTGTTCAGTTGCTAGGTAATGCTTATGTGCCATGGACGCAGCAGGTGTAGCTTTCTGAGCTTTCACTGGAATAAATTGGCCGTGCTTTGGATTGTTCTGCCATCATTTAATACATAAGTGGGATAAACTATTTTTATTTGAGGAAGAACACTGGCTTTCCACTCGTGCCACGCTGTGGACAAACGTAAATATTAATGATACCAGATGTTGTGAATGTCTGGTTAAAGAAGGTTTTAAAAAGTTATGGCTTCAAGACGCACAGATTGAGTTTTAGAACATATTTCCCTGGCTCTGTCAGTCACTCCTGTAGTTATATGGGCTACTGGGTTTTCTCCAGTGTCCAAGGTGTTTAAAGAATGAAACTGTAGTGTTGTTCCAGGTTCAAAAGCTCTGTTTTCTGCAGGAAACCCTAATAGGCCTCAGATGTTTGGCGGTGACAAAATGAAAAGGACACAAAACAAGCAGCAGAGATTAAGACCAACAGAGAAGGGGGGATAGAGGAGAATAAAAATGGACAGAGTAGTTAGAGTGAAGTTAGTGTCAGGGCCGCGCACCGGTATTTCCCCTCAGTTCTCCTGTGCTCCCCTTTCGGCCTGTTTTTACATTGTTCACACTGCCAGCCCAAATCAGTTTTTTGGCATGTTCAGATTGAATCCAGACTGATTATAGAAAGTCCGGACAAACTGGATCCAAGCCACATTTGGAGGTTGTTTGAAATGCAATACAGATCTACAGATGCTGAAATAGGATTTCAACGTGCCTTTTGCGTCAAACGTCAAATTCAGAGTGATCTGAGTGTATCAGAGCGGCTGGACAGAATCTCTGCTGCAATCCATGCCTGTTTGGAGGACGAGATGATGAATCTCCATTTCCCATCTTCGTCTCACCAGCGTACGTATTGACTGGATCTGATCTGTTTACTTGCAAATAACAGTGCGGACAGTCTGTCTTAAACAGAAACAAACTGGAATTGCCTGCAGTCTCATGAAAGCCGTTGTCTGTGTGAGTGTGTTGCTCCCTCTCCTGGCTCTTGATTGATGACCTGCACACCATCAGGTCATCAGCCTTAGTATTTCAACCCCACAGGCTCTACACCCTGTCACTATCAGATTGTTATCTTAACTTCAGTAACAGTTACGACCAGGCCTCTGGCTCTACAATCTTTGCAATTAGTATTCCCTGTGCTCTTTTGACCTGAACAAATGCTTGTCTGTTTAACGGTGCAGGGTCGGTCTGCCTGCCTCTCCCTTGCTTCCTTTGCCTGCCAAGCCGCCCTGCCGGTCCCTCCCTTCAACCCATCTCCATCCATCTTCCAAACTTCACCCTACCTCTGTGTCTGTGTCCTGTTCTTGGGTCCACTCCTGAACTAAACGTTCACGTAACACTCAAAGCCAGGAAAGCAGAGAAAGACTGTGCATACTCACTTAAAGCACCCCTCTTTCAGAGTTGAACGAAAGCTTAATGAGTGGAAATGAGTGGATTTAGGGCTGGTCAGGATTCAAAACCACAAGCCGATTTCATAATGAGGAGGTCAGGTTAAGGAGCTACACCCCTCTCTTCAGGCAACATGCCCGCCTGCCTTAAGGTTTTATCTCCACATCTTTTGAACTTATTAAAACTACACTGCGTCTTTGAAAACAACTTCTTTGGGCATGTTTTTTTTTTTTTGACAAGAACCATATGTTTATATAGTATGTGAAGATAAACCATGTGGCATGTGGTTGTTTTTCCAGATAGCACAAAACTGTTACTTTAACTAGACTTATGTGGATACTACAGCCACAGGTATTGTTTCAATTGTATGCAATTGTTCAATTCAGCGGGGGAATAACTATGATTGCTCAGGTAAAAGAGCTTACTGTGTAACTAATGTGCAGAAATTGTAGTCAAATTAGACCTGATGCTGAGCCGTTTTGATGTGTATTATGCATGTCTGGAAAGTAATTGAACGAATAATAACGTGTACTGCTGTTTAACTTGAAATACTGGTTTAAGAGAGGATGTTTTTTGTATTTAACCCACAAGAAGGAGGCTTTAGGGGAAATATTAAATAGCCTTATGTTGTCAGCTCAATGGTTGAATGACTTTTGGTTACACTTTAAAACTGCTTTGACTTTCTGTAAACAGATTATTATTATTATTATTAACTGGCCCATCACACCTGAGCTTCTGTGAGACATTAAAAGTCAGAAAGCATTAGTAAAAGGCAACTGTGTGAAACAGAAAGGTGAAGTCTTAGAAAAAATAAGTGGTTGTTATGTTGGTGTGCCTTTGTGTTGTGACGCTGAGCAGAGAACTGCAGCATAGTCACCATAACACTGCTAACGTTCATGTGTGCCACAATCACCATCTTCTTTTAGTGTGGTAACTAATATTTGCTAAATAATACAAAAAATAAAAATACAGCTAAGGCTGATGGGAATGTCAGTTTTTAGTACAGTTTTTCTCACTCACTTTGGTACATTTCTCAAATCATCATCATCATCAACATTTGCAAAACAGTAAGTGCATTTCTCAAAACATATAAACATATCATGAATACATTTATTCATTTAGCTGACGCTTTTATCCAAAGCAACTTACAATTGCTATACATGTCAGAGGTCGCACGCCTCTGGAGCAACGAGGGGTTAAGTGTCTTGCTCAGGGACACAATGGTGGATAGAAAATATGATTGACAGATCTAGACTCTCTCTCTCTCTCTCTCTCTCTCCTCTGCTCACTGTGTATTGTTACTGTTCAATGTGTGTGGTATTGTGTGTATCAGGTGAATGGTCTGAGGGCTGTGTTGCTACGGTAGTATGTTGTGATTGGTTGTTGTCTATTCTTATTTTGTCTATGCATCATGGTCTGTGCAAAACAACACTTCGTTCAGCTGTATTTGAATGTGGAGAATGACAATAAAGTTTGACTTTATTTAACTTTGATTTTGACAACGTCTTCAGCCATTCTGCATGTAGTGACTTATGCAATGAACTTGTGCCTAGATGTTTTGGGGGGGTCAGACTATTCAACTGAGAACCGGTATTATACATTATTGGGATCAGCATGACATAAGCAATTGATAATGTGGGAAACAGCAGATAATTGTACATTATCATTCGCATCAATGTGTCAAAGCTTTTGCAATTTGTTCAAAACAATGAGAAAGTGCTTTTACGGTGTGCACAAGTGATGAGATGATGTGGAGGTTGGACAAGTAGCTTTGAGAATTTCTATTCTGATCTGAAATGTACCAAGGCGAGTGAGAAAAACTGTAAGACATAGACAAAACACTATTTGATACACTGAAACTTTGACTGAAGTGATTACAAATCATCCTGAGGGGAACATAAATGTCTGTACCAAATTTTATGGTAATCCATCAAATATTTGTCCAGATATTTTACTGCAAACCTGCTGGAGGTGCTAGAGGAAAAGAAATTACTGAACCATGTACCAAATGTTGTTGTAATCCATCTAGCACATGTGGATTTATTCCAATGGCTAAATGATAAATGTGAGCTGCTGGTAGCACTAAAACAAAAAGTGAGGAGATCAATAAAGACTTTTATCATCTGGAGATCATGAATATCTGTACACATTTCTGTAGCAAAGCCACTGATATTTCACTCTAGAACAAAGTGTCAGACCGGCGGGCGACACTACCATCCCTAAAGGCCCGGTACGAACTTAGCCAGTAAAAACAGATGGCCTACAACAGACACATAATGACATCCTTTATCACCTTCTTTTGAAGTCAACAAGAGCATCCCTTTGTCAAAATCCATTTGTTTGATCAAATTACCCCACAGCATTCCTGGAAAGGTCCTCACCCAGTGTAAAAAAATATTCACACAGCACAAGTCAGACGAATGGAGGTTAAAAGGGGCCCCCGCAGCTACATTTTGCCCTTGGCCCTTCTAGCAGGTAAATCTGGCCATGTCTACACCCTTAAAAGGTATGCAATTGGCCATTTAAAAAAAAAGGTAGAAAAAAAAACAAGTTCCAAGAATAAGATCCAAAATGAGGACAAACACAAGGAGGAATGATTTTTTAAAAATCAGCTCACTTGATAATGTGTCAGGCGGCAGAAAGAATGCATACTTCCACACTGTACATGCAAGATGTTAATCGATTGTCTTCATCGCAATAAAACGTAAAGAGAGTGAGTTGCTTAACTTATATCCAAGCTCTAATCTGCCAAAAGGCAGCACCTCACCTCAAACTCTTTAAATGTCCCATCCTCATATGAACCCTATCTGGAGCTACAGATATTAAAGATTGCTTTACCTTGGTGCTGATGGATCAACATCAGAGTTGAGGTGAGAAGCCAAAAGTAAGGGAAGTCCATCCTGCTTGCCTCCTCAGCGTCCAGGTGAGAAATTTGCTGAAAGCACCTCACGTAAAATTCCTTGCAGTCGCTCCCTTCTTCCAGTAATAAAAGCAGCAGAGAAGAGCCCAAAGATATTTAAAACATACAAGGCGCAGAAAGGCACACCTGAGCTTACGAAGGTTCCCAGTCAACACTCGAAAAAAGAGAAACGTCCTCTTGGTCCAGTCAGGTAAGTGTTGCAGTCTGCAACAGCTGCCACCCAGGTGCAGTTCTAAGGCAACGCTGGTTCAGGGTATTGAACTGTGTCCAGAGGGGCTCTGAGGCTGCAGTTGTTTCCAGACGGAGGGAGGATAATGTGACCAGTTGGGAGCACAGCTGTATTAGGTTGTGTCATAACAGATGCAGAGAAGCGAACTGCAGGAGGGAAGAGAGGAGGAGGAGGAGGACACAAAGGGGAGGTTGGATCTGCAGCGAGACACCTCCACACTTTTGAACGTCATTAATTACAGCCTCCTCCGCCCGCCGCTGACCGGTGTCATGCTCTCATGCTTTCTCTCCCACTGTGGTCTCATTCATTGTGGCTCTGACTCAGTGAGCATCTCTCTGCTTTTTTATTCTCCTTAGAATCTTAAATCTCTCCCTGTTGTTTAGTATGTAGCCTACATGTCTTTATCCGTGTGTTTGAGGCAACAGATGAAGGAATGTTATCCTGCCGATGTAGACAATCACTGACCCCAACAACAACAGCTGTGATGTTGAAAGTGAAAAGCAGATAGATAGATAAGTATCATCCCTAACATTTGTTTTAAAAGTTCATGTTGCTGTAACATATCAAAATATCTGGTGTTTAGACTTTAACCCTGCTTAGAAATCCAGTGGCTGAGTTTGAGAATAGGCACAGTTCTCTGTTTCTGAAGGTGAAAGGCGATATTATAACTAGTTCTGGTTATCAAACTGGTTCGCAGGTTCCAAGGGTTTTTACTGAGCTGTGAAAAAGCCTTCTCTTACTTTGCTCCCTGGTCTTGGAATAACTTAAAAAACTTACTACATCAAATGTTCTAGTCCCATTAAATGAAGTGAAAGCCACGTTAAAATGCTAGTAACTGAGAAATGTAACTGCAAGGGAGTTGTAGGTGGGGTTAATGACTGATGACCAGGGGAAACATACAGGATTTATGTAGGTAAATAAGAGAGACGAGAGTACACTGATGCTTTTGTGCTGACTTCAATCATTCCTTTCATTTCAGTTAAATTCATCTTGGCTCTTTTTTTAGTTGTTGTTCCCCAAATATTGTTGATGACTGATAAGAATTTAACCTGTTTACGTGTGGTGGGGGACGTAGGTGTCATTTACACTGGGGATGCTGGGGATAATGCACGAAGAAAGGTTTATTTGCACAGCAAGACGTGAATAAGAATGTGCTCCCCTCGATATAAATAAAGACATTTCCACCATAAATTGGGGCAGAATATGTCTCCAGAATGCAGCAATAAAGTTGAAAAAAAGTTTAAAAGGTTTGAGAACCACCGGGTTAAAGGATTGAGTATTTTTAAACCATTTTTCACATTTGATTAGTAGGTTAGTTTGGAATGAGTGCAGTAGATGTTTCAGCGGAACTGGCTGCAGTGGCTGCGGCGTATAACCTCGGGGCGACTGCGCCCGTCAAAATGGCGACCACTGAAAGTGCTTCTTGTTGCCAGCTACAGGCTCAGACTGCTAAACCAGGTGTCTGACAACATAATGGAAAGGATCCCTGTGAGGGACTCCCGGGGACCCCCTTTGTATTTAACAGGAAACTCAAGGACAATTCTCGCTCTGAAATCTTGCGAGAGGCGAGTTACTGCAGGAAGACGGCGGTGGAAACACGAGTCAGAGTTGGAGAAAGAAGACGAGTTCGAGCAAGAGGGACCGGGGTCCTGGCAAGACTCTCAGGGCACCCGTCACCTGCTTGTGGGTTTGCTGGGGTTCAGCTCAGTGATACGAGCAGCGCAGAGAGACGCAGAAGATTTTGCATTGTATGTTCAATTTTTACTGAAGGCTGCTTTGAGGCAAGAATTTGGAAATTAAAACCATAAAGGGTCTCAACATCGTACTGGCCTGCTGCAGCTGAAGTTGGGAAACTCAAAGGAATCATCCTTTAAGAGAAATTATCTCAACAGTCAAAATGCCATTACATTTATACTTGGAGAATTCAAAGGGGATAAAAAGAAATCTAATACATTGAAAATTTAAATACATTTTATATTTTCTGCACGATTAGTGGCGCCAACAGCTACGTTTAGTCACTCCATTTGACACTCCATTTTTCAGTTTGACATCTTCATCAGTTAAATGGATCAAATTGGCCAATCATAGTGACAGACATATCCAGCAGCTCTAACACAATTACTGAGTCAACACTGAGGCTGTTAGTCAATGTGCAGTAAGGCTGGGATCGTGGTCTAAGGCATCCACAATCTTCCTTTCAGGTGAATTGTAGAGCTTGTGGTATTTAATGTCTTCTTACTTCTATTTGCAATCTTCTCATAACCTCATTGACAAGTCGATCCACTCTGCGTGAACAAACCAATAAAGCAATGAAGCCACCTGGGAGGCTGTGCTAACTGGACGAATTACTTCACGTGGCTCTTCCTTGGGTGACGAGTGTTATTTTTATGATTCTGTTATCTTTTGGTTTCTGTTTATAACTTAAAAAACGTGTTTGTTAACGGTAGCTTACAAGTTAAGTAACATGGATAGATAGCAAACGTCAGCCAGAATAGAGAACCAAAGTCAAAGTGAAACTTCCAGGTTCTGTTCCAAAAGTAAGAAAACCCCAGTCAGATTCAATACGCAGGGTAAGCGGGTGACAATGGATGGATGGATGGATGAATAATTAATATTTCATAGTTTCGATAGGGATGCACTGATCCGATTCTGATATCAGGTTTTATATCAACAGAAACAGCTGGATTGGGTATTGGGGACAAGGGGCCCATCTAATTAATTAAACATTGAAACAACGAACAACATTTTGCTTGGAGAGCTAAGATGGCATGGTGGGAGCTAAAAACAAGGGGTCAGCAGTATTTCACAACAAGTTCTACATCTAAGTGCAATACCTGCGTAGCCAATGTTTCAAAGGGCGAGATAGCTCTGCAAACTATGACACAACTTACTCAATCAAGCACCTTAAAGTTTGGAAGCAATGTTTAAGTCAAGCCTGATGTTGCCTTAGACATGAAAGAATGATTCCCAGTCGTTTTCTCACATTGAAGAATACATGTTATTCAACACACTGGTATCGGATCGGTACTCGCCGCCAGCGATTCCAAAAAATCAAGTATTGGTATTGGATCTGTCCAGTTGTAGGTACAGGTGCCACTAAAAAATCTTGTGTTTCTGCCTTCTCAACTAACAAGATAAGATTCAAGAAGGGATCTGAAGAGATTCACATTCAATAATTTAATTTGATTCTGGATGAAATGCAATCTAAAGCCATCCATAGTTGGTTCATTCCATATTTCTATTTTTCTATTGTTGTTTAATACCATTTCCCTCGAGCCAGTTGAATGTCACCAGCTTTACAGTCGGGTGGTGAGCTGAGAGGATGGGCCGGACAGGGAGGGCCCGTTAGACAGCAAGGACTACAGCTAAGAAATGAAAAAGAATCTGTGTTCGCTCATTCAACTCTAGCTGGAGAAGCTGAAGAGCTGCTGTGATTTAAAAGTGCGTAATACTTATGTCCATAATTTATCATTTTAGCTGTAAAAGTGTGCAGTTTTCAGCCTCCCTACTACTTTGGCAGATAATACTGTCAGCATATTTGTTTTGGACTGACTTGCTGTGGAGCTGCCTGCAGCCTTTAAGAGACCGTTCTGAGGTCATCTGGAACACAAAACTGTACACTGAGCAGGAAAAGGCTCGAACCACATAAGGTGGACCCCGTCTTTTTATCTTTTTTTGGGCCCAGTTAGGGGAAGTTGTCTCGCTGTCTTTCTGTCTGTTTAACCAAGGGGAGGCCGTTGCGGTAAACCAGATTCATAAAGAGATTAACGAGGACTGAGGATCTGGGAGGCAGATTCTATGGTGAGCTCCATAAAGAGCCTTTCGTTGGGTTTCCCCAAAATTGCTCCACCAGATCTCGTGAAATGAACTTGGTGTCCTAAAAAGTAAATAGCAAGTTCTGTGCAGAGGAAGTGAGTTTCACCACCATGAAGCAGAAACAGGCAGTCATTTATATCACCACAACATTTTGACTTCTTTACTTTAAAATCCTATTACCTAGGTTCAATTGCCAGTTTTTAAAGAAGTGGAACTTTTCTAATTTAATCCTGGGTTAAACTTTTCTCTAACCCAAACGAAATTCCTTCAGGAATAGTTCAACATGTTGGGAAATGATCTGATTTGCTTTCTATCAGAGACAGAGATCAGAAGCTGGATGTAAGTCTCATGTCTGTGTGTTGAGAGTCAGGCCGTGGCTAAAGACTGAAAGCAGCTCTATCCAAAGTACAAAAATACACCTAAATCTAAAACTCACTAATCAACACGCTGCGTCTTATTGGTTAATATGTACACAAACCTGTTACAATGATTGGTTTCCGCTGCTTTTTGTTAATAAATTAAAATATTGAGATACGTGTTAATTAGTGAGCTTTAGAGGTGTTTGTGTATTTTTTTGAACTTACAGAACCAAGCTAGCCGTTCCCATCTACTTCCAGTGTTTATGCTAACCATGCCCTGACTCTGTACTTCATTTGATCACGTTAAAATGTGAGAAAATGGTCCTTTCAGGTTGTGCTACTGTCACATCATGTTTTTATGGCCGTGTGTAGTCACTCATTCATACTCAGTCCTCATTCACATGGCATCATTTTGAGTCTTGAATCTAAATTCAGTAATGAGGATAATAAACAATGTTTTGCTAAGATGTGAAATTCAAATATAGCCTCTGTCATATCTCCCATATGTCAGCTGTCTTGACATTGAAAGTTTCTCCTAGCTGTTGTCACAGCAGATGCAGAAGGAAACTGAAAACAGCCTGTCGCTTGCATTGCCCCAGGAGGTGAGATAATTGGGGAGAGGTGGAGGAGGAGGGGAGGGGAATGGGAGAGTATGTAAAAAAAAAAATAGGCAGCAAAAGGGAAAAAGAAAAAGAGTGAGGCAAGAGACAGACTTACAAAAGATGAAATTTCCATTAATTATATGGTACAATTAGAGTTATCCGTAATATCTTTAAATAAGAATAACTTTATTTGTAGAGCACTTATCAAAACAGAGTACAAAGTGCGTTCACAGAGGATAAAAACATTAAAATCATAACAGTTAAAAAAACACAATAAGATACGACATAACATGCACAAATTAAAGTGACATTAAAACA